GCTGCAGAGGTGTGTGTGTGTGTGTGTGTGTGTGTGTGTGTGTGTGTGTGTGTGTGTTGAATGCATGTGTTCACGTGAGTGCATGTACAAGTGCATGCCTGAACTAAAATGTGGGTATCAGATGTCCTTCTCAGTTGCTTTCAGTTGTTTTTTTTTTTTCCTTGAGAGATGGACTGGCTGTCTACTGAGCTCTGGGGATCTGCCTGTTGACTTCCTCCCTCCCAGTGCTGGGGTTACCAATGCATCCAGATTTTGTGTGGATGCTGGGGATCTGAACTCAGGTCCTCAATCTTTTGTGGTGGACACTTTACACACTGAGCCACCTCCCCAAACCTCAAAGAGGCTTTAATTAGGGTACCCTGGTGTTCCGAAAAAGCATGGAGCAAAATGGAAATGGAAGGGAGCCTGAATGGTGGTACACATCGACGGTCTCAGTTACTGAGGAGGCTGAGGCAGGAGCATCACTTGAGCTCCAGAGTTTGAAGCCAGCATGGGCAATGTAGTGACTCAAAAAAAAAAAAAAAATCCAGTACTAAAAACATACAAAAAGGAAGGTGTAGCTGAAAGGGACCTCCCATGTGCATGATCCAAAGTCAAGTCAACAGGTGAAATGTTTACGGATGGGAACCAGGAAGCCCTATGGTGCCCCACCAGCTATGAGGTCCAACGACACATATGGTTTCTGAGTGACTGTTTCTCCTTCTTGTTTGAGAAACATTAAGCCAGGTCCACGCTGATGGAATCAGGCCTGTCTGCTCTCGACTGACTTGCCCAGGTTTTAGTTTATTGACTAAAAGTATGAAATTCTGCCGCCATTGGCTTCCCTTCTGTTGAACTTTGCGGAACACAATGCCGAGCTGCTGTTTAACTTGGCTTTGTTCATCCTGGCTCTTGCCGAAGCCACTGGACCACTTGGCTCAGAATCCAAGGAGCTGTAGCCTGCTGGATTCTGGCACTGCCCCCACCCCCAACCCCTGCAAGCTGGGTCCTGACCAGACTGGTTTGTAAATAGTTCTTGGCACATACCCTAGAGGAGAACACAGCCACTAACAATAGCAACTCTCTTTTTAGCTTGAATCTCCTAGTACTCGGGGCTGTGAGCTTGTAAAAACCAAAAATAACCTAAGTGATTACACTGGGTTACCCTAACAGTCTCTTCCCACTATTGCCAGCATCACATGTTATTCCGGCAGATGTTCCAGCCACTGCTGGTGGAGAGAACCAGGTCTCAGCCAGACCTAGATTTAAGACCTAGCTAGGCTGTTTAATTTTATGACATCAGGCCAGGCACTAATCTGAGCCTGTTGGGAATTGAATGAGTGGACATATAAATAAGTGCTTAGGAGCCTACAAAGCACACTACGTAGTTAAGTCATCCACGTCAGGAAATAAGAACAATAGGAAAGGTCTGGGAAATGACGTTAAGTCTCCCGAGAAGCACTTGAATCGGTATGGAGGGAGATGGGGGCTGTTCTCTGTTCAAAACGTTCAACACATACATATGTGATCTCAGAAGACAACTAGAACTATAATTTATTTCAGTCTAAGGACTGTCTTTCCTTTTGTTCATGGTGAATTTAGAAATAAGGACTGAGCGGAACTTTTTACATCAAGAAGTAGCAGAGCAGGTGAACTAGCTATTAGGTACAGCAAAGACTGCCATTGCTCACACATCCATTAGACTAGCTTTTTTTTTTTTTTTTTTTCCTCCAATGAAGGTAAGCTGTTTTTGCCACTTAGGATTTTTATTTTATTCCTTTAAGTCCTGCCACTGCTTCTTCCTCCTCCTCTCCCCCGTCCCTCTTTTAAGGCATGATCTTGTGTAGCCCAGGCTAGCCTCTAACTTGCTATGGAGCCAAAGGGGAACTTAAACGCTTGATCCTCTTGTGTCTGTCTCCTTAGTGGTGGGATTTACAAGAGTGTGCCACCACGCCTGGGGCAAAGGGGCGCCACCTGCTTATAAGTCATGGTGTTGTCCATCTCTAGCCCCTGGCACCCTTTGCTGTCTCCACGATGGCCCTACACTGCTCTTCCTCACGTTCTTAATCACACGTTAACTTTTTTTTTTTTTTTTAAATCTAGTAGGTCCTCACGCTTGCTAGCAAGAGTGAATTTGTAACTACTTCCCAAAGAGCCCAATGTGTCGTGTCTTCCTTTCAGAAATTTAACCAGCTGTAGGGCAGCTTCTCAACTTCACTGTGACACATCCTAAAACCCTTTATGGTGAGGCTGCGACTGAGCTTTGTCAGTGGAGGAGTTAGGTCTATTGCCTCCTGAGCTAGACCAGCCTCCCCTTCCCCATTTCATTTGTAACGATCTCATGGCTAGCGACTGGCAGGAAGATTATTTTCAGACTGTCGCCTGCATTTCTCTACCGTGGCCTTCACTTATGCATGGTGGGCTACTCTTTAATTGAGAGTTCTGTACTGTGTGTTTTCCCTTCCTTCCTGTCCTTCCATCTGGGTTTTAGCACAGCCCTGGGAAACCTCCTAACGATGTTGCTTTTGCTCTGCAAAGTCAAGGGAAGAGAGCTCCCTACTGGGCATTCTGTTGTTTCCACAATGGCTCACTAGTAGTCTCGTTCTGCCCTCTGCGAACTTCTGGAAGTTTCTGCCAACTCATTGGAAGTACTCTCCAAAGACACCCTGAAGGGTGTTGGCAATGCCCACTACCATCACCCTAATACCACTGAGGACATACTGGTAGTTCCATCGTAGATATGTTGGCTCCTCAAGACTGTGTTGGTTGCTCTTGATGTTGGTATGTCCTAGACCCAAGTCTATGTCCTGGTCTACAGCCTTGTTTGTAAGGATGTTGGACTCCTCTTATACGATGCTCCTGAAAGGTTTCTGATACTGACAAGATGCTGATCTTTTCCACTGAGCTTCTGTGCTGGGTCTGGGAGATAGCAGAGATACAAGTCGAGATCCGGAGCATCTTTTCCTTGGGGCCAGGGGACTATCAGTAGACTGACTGGAGGTTATCACTTCTAGGTCCCATTTCATGTAGGAACATCCTCTATAGAGAGAGGTCTTGCCAATAGTACAGGTAGTGTTGTGTGAACATTTTTGGAGGTAAGAAGAGCACCATTACATGACCAGTAGACACCCTTCTCTACTTTTGCTTTGTACACCTGTTAGTATTTCTGCAGAGGATTCCTAGAACTGGGATTATTGAGTCAAAGTAGGCACACTGTACAAATGTCAACAACAGTAAACGGGTTGTATGCATGGGTCTCTGTAGCTATTATAGTGACTTACACAAAAATTCAAGTATAGGACTCAAGCAAAGAAAGAAAATCCAGTTCAAACAAGGGGACAATTTCTTAATAGCCAAGGATCCCTCATAGTGAGTCAATCTCCTTTGATCTGTGTAGTGTAAAAGCAATATTGTGCGTGAGACTAGAGTGTCTACGATCTAAAGGATCTCTGGAACTGAGGCTGGTGGTACACTCTGGAAAGCATCAGGAACCCTTCTAACTCGGCAAGCCCCTGGGGAATGAACCACTCAGGGCTGGACTTTGTTGTCACATAGACTGCATTTCCTTGGGGAGCTGACAGCACTGGGGGCTTCGTAAGACCAGCTCTTTCAAAAATCTCTGCTTTTCAGTTTTATCCTCTTGAGAGAGTCTGAAATACTTTACTACGCCATGGTTGTAGTTTCTGCTCTGTTGCTGTGATAAAATACCTTGACCACAAGCACTATCAGGGAGAAAGGTTTATTTGGTTTGCAACTCCAGGTTGCAGTCCATCATTGAGAGAAGATGAGTCACGAACTTGAAGTCAGGTCTGTTTGCTATTCCATACAGTCCATCCATGCAGTTCTTTGATTTCTCTTTACGGCATTTGGTATTGTAAAATCCCCAGATGAGCCCTGTTTCCTTCATCCAACAGTATCTTGGTTAGTCTCCCTCTCAGCTCCTCTCTAGCCCCCTTTCTCATAGCTACTTGTCAGTAGATTCTGGAACAGAAGGAATCACTCAGCTCAGTGACTTGGCACACAGTTGTTGAAGAACCGCTATCCTTGGCTGTTTGCAATCCTTCTTGTTTCAGTATTAGTTTGTGAGCAACTCTTTGAGTCTAAGCCAGGGGTCACTTATCTCTGTCGGTCCCCAAGGTGGAGTGGAGGTATGGTGGCATCTGCTTTTACTCACAGTACCCAAGAGGCTGAGGGACCAGGGCTGACACGTGTTCAAGTTACACACAGACTCTTTTCTCAGAAGGTGAAGGTGTGGAGACCTCCTCTAGGGCGACCTGGAGCATGGCCTAAACTTGGCTCCAATTTGCTTCTTGAAAAAAGTCAACAGTGAGAACAGACACGGGAAAGGAGGGGTGGGAGGTGACAAAGAGAGGATCTGGGAAAGCCTGCCGGAAGGAAGCAAGAAAGACCAACTGCACCAAGAGACCAGGTCCACTACTATCCAGACCCCGACCCCAGCTTCTCACGTGACGCAGGGGCAGAGGTCAAGCAGCCTAAACCCCAGACTCTCGCGCGCGAGGAGCTGGGGCCCACGTCACCAGCTAGCGGACGTCCCCGCCCCCCTTAGC